GGGGGGGGGGGATTTGGAAATAGTGTTAGAAAAGGCAAAAACGCCTTAATTTCTGTCCCATTTTGGGAGTTAAAATGTTCAAAATGGACAAACTGACAGTGTCAGCCACTTGGGGTGTCTGCTGCCGTCGTTAAATGTTCAACTTCTCATCGGTTTACAAAAACCAGCTGGCCGCGTTGTTTCTCTATCATTGCCATTTATCTTAGAGGAAGCTGTAATGATGCAAGACCAAGTGGCCAAACATGGGTAACTCTGAGCCCCCCCCCGCCACCCCTCCTCCACCAGAGCCTAAACTAGGAGCACAGTTCATTTGCACACAAGTGTGATGTACAACATTTTATTTATACAACTTCTACTGAAGACAGCATCACCTGCTGATGCTTTAATTTCATTAATTTACAGCGACACGGTGACAACAGCTGGTACAATATTATTTAAATATTTATTAGTTTAATTTGTACAAACGTGCTGAAGTGGTTGTTGTTGCAGTATTTAAACCTATTTAAGGCCTGTGAAGTTGCTCTCGTCGAGGTGAGGAAGAAAAGGTGGAAGTTTTTAAAATACTCGTGCGTCTTTTAATGCTTGTTGCCGTCAGTACAATCCTAACTCTGTACATGTTTTAAGAAAAGGGAAGCACGTAGTCATGGTTGGAAAATGAACGGGAAGATTGTGCAGTGAACTTGTATGCAAGTCCTTCTTTCTTTTTTATTTTTAAGGAAATAAGCAGGACTGATACCTCTGTTCTCGTCCAAAATTGGCATCTTTCATATCTGTTGATATGGAAATGTGCACATGCAGTGTCATATGTTATACATACAGTACATCTTTGACATGACAACTGAGTTGCCAATGTGAAGAAACGGTTTACTGCATTCACCTTCTTCTTTTTCCTCCCTTATATCCCTTTGAAAGGATTCTGTACGTTCTAACAAGGTGCTGGTTTCTCTCACTAATCTTGTAATTATTGTACATCCAGTAAATGTGATCTTGTTTTATTTGACCTGCGTGTTTTATGGATTGGACGTCCCTCGTGAGGCTGTAGCCAAATGTGTGCGCTTTAATCCCACGAGGACACACAAGCCTTGTGTACATGCCTCCTGTGCGTATGTAAATACTGTATGTAAACTTGTAAATACCTTTGATATTTGTGGCTGCAAGTGAATGACTCGTCTGTACACTGTACTGTAGTTATTTAAGGAAAAAATACTGCGATGGAAGAAGAGTTAATAAATTCTAATTAAATGTTCTGAGATCCGTTTGTCAACTATTTCATTTAAACGGTGAGAAAATTAAATGTCCTAAACACTATTACCTATAACTAAATATTTAAAATGAAACGATCTTATATTGCATTAAAAATGGAAATCAACACAAGTTTAACATTTGCTGCACTATAAAGAAACTGGTCCAGATTAAATGATTTAATGATTTTTTTTTTAATCTACCTGGATAAACCTGCAAACCTCGTTTCAATGAATGCTACACCTGAGCACATACTGCCACCTGGTGGTGGTTTGTAAATTACACCAATAAAAACACTTCTTGTATTAACATGCGAGACAGGTCATTATAAAAACACTAAACCCATTTCAAATAAGAATTTGCGTTTTGCACAGTTTGTTTACGTTGAGTGGTTTTATTTTGAAAAGTAGCTCCTAAACCGGAAGTGTTTCCGGCCTAACTTAAAAAATACAGTACTGTAAAAAAAAATTAAAAAGCTGTAATTTTTTCATATTTATTTATTCTTAACCAGGAAGGTTTGTACAGTAT